GTTTTGTTCACGTTCCAAACGAAAACATACTCTGCAGTTAACACTTTATCGAAATTTTCTTGTTTTTTTTTTTTTTTTTTTTGGTTCCTTTCAACGTCTAGTCGGAAGTTGACTCCTATTCATTTAAAAAGTTAAAGGAAATTGGAAGAGAAAGAGAAACTCCCATGTGTACGAATTATTTGATATTCTGCGTATTACACCATTTTGAACCCACTTCTGGCCGCACCTTGTCCTATTAAAAATATAAACGCGTGTAGAGTACGCTCTTGGCATGACAATGGAACGCTGGCTTTTGAAAAAAATAATAGGTGAAAGTAAAAAGTTCGTCGCGTTTACCGCAACAAATGGCTTCACCGTGAAGTATTTTGGGCAAAACTATCAAGCCACACTATAGCACGCGTGAAATGTCTTTTCACAGATAATTAAAAAGAAATAATTGCGACATTTGTCAGTTCAGTTAAAAATAATTGAGTTTTAAAACCGAACAAAAATTTTGAAATAATTCACTTACTTCGCAATGTCACTTCGATCAAGATAACAACTGAGTGAAGGCTTCCGAAAAAATTCGTGAAAAGCAGCACGCAAAAGTCCCGTTTTGGGATTTTTATGCCAAAGACACGCTGCGCTTTAATGGACCAACTCTTTACCAATCAATGAAATTTTTCGAAAAATGGATAAAGTCTGGAATATTTCATTAGACATTGACCAAAAAACGGTCTTGAATTGTGTCCTTTAATCTCGCTGCTCGTACAATACAAAAAAAAAAAAAAACAAAAAAAATTAAATTTTGAAGAAAAAGCTCGGTGAACTTTTCCACTCAGTATTTGATATAATTAATTGTTCCTTAAATTAATTGTTGTCGTTAAATTTTATTCATAAATTTCTTAGCAAACATTTGGATTTGTAAATTTCTTCTGATATTCAGTAAACTATATATAATCTGTATCAATCTGTTTGTTCGGTTGTAAAAAAATTAATAAAGAAAGAAATAACAGATAGAATATATGCGATGCAACTGTACATGTACAAAGAGAATTTTGGCCAATTTCATAAAAGACTTGATGAAAGAGATTTGCAAGTCTGCAGTTATGTGACAGTCTCAATGTGGCAGTTATGATCTTATATTCGTAACGGCCGTGTAATCGGCTAGGAGAAGTCTACATTTCAACATATATTTGGATATTCATTTTAGATAACCTATAGTTAAGGAATTTTTTATTTTACGGCTGATTTGAACCCAACTTGAGAGTCATAAACGATCAGAGTATTTGCAAAAGGGGTCTTTCGCTTTTCATTCCTAAAGAAGATCCTCTGCTAAGCAATTTGAGACGAAATTTTTCACATCTTCATTACATTTGTATTCTAATTTAAATTATCTCACGACAAAAAAGCAGCGATCAAGTACAGGAATGTTAGTGTTGAAGAAATTTATTTACAGAAGTATTTTAAAGATATTAAAAGACTAATAAGAACACTATGCAAGCTAAGCTTTGGTATAATACTGACAGAATCGATAATCTTCTTTCCTTTGATCTGATGATTGAAATTTTCGTTGAAATTTCCTCGAATAGCAGTTGTAAAGGACGATAGACTAGAATGGTTCGCAGTGAATTTCGACATTTATTCAAATTTTCCGTTTACTTCTTTGCTTTCTCTGTTAGCTTTGCCTTTACTCGATAGTAAGGCTGAGAGTCATGAATTCAATGTTAATAATGGTAAACTGGTGGTGAAACTTTTTCTTGTCTATGACATATTTTTATAAAGGTATGCGAAAAGCTACATATTGCTTAAAAATTTCTTGGAAATTTTTTACGTTTTTGCCTTCATTCATTCTTAGCAGTCAATTTTGAAGCTGCCCATCTTCATAATTGGTTTTTATTTTATGGTAAATAAAGCATCGAAAATTGTTATTTGTTTTTGACGCTTTTTTCAAAACCTAAATGTTGGCCTTTTTCTTAAATCGAATTTTACGGCTTGAAACTAGCTCGCTTTAAGACGAAATTAATTTTATTCTCTTGTTCATTAATTTTCTTTAACTGTTTATGCGTTGCGTTTTGAACGCATATGAGAGTGAAAGATTTAGCCTGAAACATGAGTAAGTGTGCGAGTCATGTAACATATTAATATTTGTACTCACTATCAGAGAATGGTCTTACGTTAATTTTATCGTTCTGTTCACAAGGCTAAACAGTAAAAATTAGAGAAATGCATAAACTTGGGCCTCAGGGCGGAGAACTATAATAAGAGAAGAACAAGAAAGTCAGAAAATTATTATCCGCCGTAATCAGATCTTTCTTTTATACCCATAAGCATTGTTCTCCTCAAAAAAAAAAAAAAAAAATAAAGAGAAGCAAAAGCAAGCTAAATTTTTATACTGTATAATAAGGTATGGACGCGCCATACTTTTCTATTGTCAGATTAGAAGTGGAAAGTCATACGGTCAGACAAAAAAGACGTAATATCTAGCTGGACCGCGACCGCTACATATTTTCTTTTCTTTCCTCATCTTTTTCTGCCCGTCAAAGCCATAAGTGATTGCTTATATAACAAAAAAAAAAAAAAAAAATAAAAAAAAAAAGTTTTTAACTATTTTTTCACTTCCATCCATTTATTTAAATTTTTTTTATGTTCAAATATACCGATTAAGCCATGAGTGTGAATCATAATTTTAAATGTCATAAAAATTTTTTGCCGCGAAAATGCTAAATGTATTAAATTGATTAGAAACATTATGACAAATTAACGTTGGTGGTGCGACATGATATAATGTTTTGATTGCTTTAATCAAACTTGACAGATATACGTAGGCGAACTGCGAACTGCGTACGCGATGTGGCGCTTATAATAAAATCGAATCAACAATTAGTATTTTAAGCAAATGTTGGAAAAAACAAAAAAAAAAAATGCGGATAAATAAAATTCTGTTTTATCTCTAATAACAAATAGACCAAACATATTATTTAAAATTATAGTAAATAGAAAGAAAAATAATTATACACATGCATATTGATTATAGTCAGATATTATCAGTTTGGAAACAGGTATTGCTTTGCAAACATATTTTGCAACCCCTACGTATTTTCAAGAAATAAAAACATTATAGTCGAGCGAGGCCGACAATTCAATAAAAATCGGTTAATACAAGTCTTCGTTTATTCTCGTGATAAAATAACAAAATATTATAGGTTGCTATACTTTTTATGCGCGCCTCTTTGAGCGAGCGGATCGAAAACATGGACTGACGTGATCTAAATTTAAATTTAAAAAAAAAAAATCTCCATCTACTTCTGTCATAAAGTGTTAATTAATTAAAAATTGTTGTCATGTAAAGGAGCCATTTTCGCTGGTTCTATGGGAGAGACTTCAAAGAGTACTACATCCGATCGTAATTACTCACCATAATCTAATATACGCAAATATTGGAAACTTTGAAGACTTCTTTTTTCATATAAGTGCTTCGATGTAATTCATTAGCGGCGTTGTACTAAATTTTTGTCAAATTATCTCCAAAATTTGCGATCGGTAGGCTGAACAAGAAAACAAAACCAACAGCCAGCCGACAAACAGATGCACAGGCAAATAAGCTACAATCAAAGAATGGGTGCAAGGTGGGTCTATTTCTAATCTTTATGGATGTTCCATAAATTTGAGCAAACGTAACTTAGCTTGTAGCACAATGACGAAAATGACGGGTGTAGAGTATAAAAAAACAAACAAAAAATTGAAGATTATGTAGAAAAAGAAGGTTATATCTGTTCACAGGCCCGGCGAGGATAAGTATCACCTCTAAAAGTTTCAGATATCTGTTGTAGATAGCGCTCGTATTGGGGGAAAGTTCCAGTTTCTCATTTCTTAAGTGCGCATTCCAAATTAGCTCGAAGATGTTATGTTGTTATGTGCAAGATGCAATGCATCATAAGTAACAATAAGCTAAGAAGACTTTGTTTTCCTATATTGGAATTGGAAACGTTATGAAGATGACCGGGCATGGGTATGTGTGTGTGTGTTTGTGTGTGTATATACAGAATAACAAAATATAAATATTCAAATATATTCTTATGTGGAGAACCATACAAATCTTGGCATTTTGTTTGCTGGGTTTTTATGAAAAATGTCTGATTTATCTTTTATTGCCAAAAAAAACAAAAATCCAAATACTACTCTTTTAAAATGTTTTAGATAATTTGCAACAAATTTTGTTATGTACAAACAGTGCGTCGCGTATACTTTAAAATTAAACAGTAACCGAAATCAACAGTTGTTGCTCTTATAGCTGTTGTTGTCGTTGCTGTTAATTTTGTTGTTGTGCTTGTTATGCCCTCGCTTAGCCTATGATTGCATACTTGATTTATACCGTACAGACAATTTTGATTGGAAATGCACACAAAATATAGTTTATAATATCGCAACTGCAGCGCTACGCGCGCTTGACATATGGTCAGAGAACTACGTGCAAGCGAACACAAACCAAAAAAAAAATAAGCAAAAAACACCAAAAAAAAAAAACAAACATGACTTGGGATAAGCTTTTCTTGATAACACAAAAACGCACACAAATGCATATGTGTTCACGCATATGCACTGCTCATATGTGCATACATTACATGCGAGCATGCTTCGATCTAACACTATCCTCATGATCTTTGTTATAGGCTGTTAGCTGGGTTGAGTGCTGCCAACTGGCACTCTTGAACACCATAGAATGGTGAAAAGAAGGAAAACATATCAAAGCAAATCAAGATTGACGACTACCAGGAGTGCAATTAAAATTATTAGCATGCAAGCTGTCACTTTTGACAGTTTGCGTTAGTTTACTTATTTATTGAACTAATTGGATTTTGTCCGTCTGCTTGTCTGCATATGTGTCTGTCTGTCTGTCTGTCTGTCTGTCTGTCTGTCTGTCTGTTTGTTTGGCCAATATTAAATGTAAATTAAGTTGTAAAATGTATTTTCCAGATTTTATATAAATTTTCTATTTACTTCTGTGCCTTTCTTTTTAGCTTTACGTTTACTCGATAGTATGGCTGATAGTCACGAATTAAATGCTAGTAACGGCGGTAATGGCGGCGGCGGTCTTTTTCCCCAGCTTTTCAATGTAGCCATTAGAGCTTCTATACGCGCTAATGCCACTTGTGGTCAAAATGGCCGAGAAGAATATTGTAAATTGGTGGATGCTTATCCTCATAAAAAATGGGCGACACAATGTGGCATTTGTAATTCGCACTCTTCCGATATGGCTAAACATCGTCCCATCGAATCGGTTATCTCCAATACTCAATCCGACGATCGTTGGTGGCAATCACCCACTCTCCAAAATGGTCACAATTATGAATATATTACAATCACTTTGGATTTGAAGCAGGTGAGTGAGTTTTAATTCATAAAAATGTTAACTGTTGCAATAGTTGCGACGACAGCCGGAGGCGAATTTCAAAGCAAGCTAACTAATACGAACATCAGTGAGAAAAGAATAAGTCATAATTTAAAAAACTTATGGAAAACAAGGAAACTTTTTCTTATTTGATTGAAGGCCTGTTGAAAACAGGTATGACAAAGTAAGTTCAGTGAACACATAGTTTTTTGAAGAAACTAAACCAGCTTATACGCTCATATACGGTCTCAAAACGTAAACAATAGGTTGTAAGGAATGATTCAAAATCGGCCCGTGTTAAGATCGTATTAGTGGTACTTCAATATTCCACTTTAGTCGCCCTATTGTTTAATTTTCTTGTGAATGATTTCGATAGCTCAGTGGGTAATGATTGCTCTTTCTTTTGTCTATAAAGTACGTTAATACATTCGTATCTCTAGCTTGTATTGACTTTTGGATGTCCGAAAATATGCTTTTCATTAACACTAAAACTACTAAGACCTTACTTTTCAGCTGGGCCTTTCCCACTTCATTATTAAGATATCTGAGTATTTCACTGGTCTTTAGCATTAACTGACCGTGGTTGCATATTAGCCCTCCCATCGAATAACATTTCTCCAAAAACTTTTCTTTTTCTACGAAAATTGTACAATCTGAATGTGTACTTGCCGGCTCGGTTTAAATATACTACTCATGCCGCATGTTAACTACAGAAGTGTTTCTCGGTTACCCATTGCATAGTTTGGATAGGCTTTAAAATGGATTGTCAACCGTGTTACAGGCTTCACTGGCAGACCACATTTCCTTTTTCGTTCATGCTTTTTTCAAATTCTTTTCTAACTTAAGTTTCGTTTGTTAATCGATCTCTGCTAAATCATTCAACCTCGATCGTTCAATCTTTTACTAGAGTGATTAGACTATTAGATTAAATTATTACCGCGTATTTCTTCCTTTCTGCCCCTGCAGCTCGATATTGCAATGCTTTACAGCAAACATTGAATTATTTTCACGAATCTTTGAATGCATTTAGAGGAAACTTGACCACCTTAAATTTCTGGCATCAGGAAATGATTACCACGGACTTCATAGAGCAAGGTGATTACGTCAGTAGTCCTTCCGCCGAATTATGCTTATACTTATGTTGTAAACTCTCTTCTAAACGATAATTACATATCTTGCAGCTAAGCACATTGGCCTATGGCTTTATAATCACAATAATAAGAAAAAAAATAATATCTCTCTTGGGCAGTAGAGGAAGGTCTCACATTCTTACATAAAAGCGCGTGTAAGTGAAATGCTTAGCTTTATTGACAATACGCAGCAAGGGTGACATTTTTACTATTGCTGAATAGTTAAGGATTGATTAATCGGTGTTCCAAGTAATCTGCAACTTCAACTGCATGCAGTTACATACTAATCTCTTGCCAAATACCATATCTATTATATTATTTTATATATTTGAAGCTGCGAAAAACAATCTTTTTTCATCGTTTCTTGTCAGACATATTTGGTCGAGTATATGACGATTCTTTCCTTCTGCAACAGGGATTGCATAACAATTCTTGATCATCACACAATTAAAGCGATCATGTCAGAGGGATTGTAACCGTATAAGTCTACCTAACAGAGCAAGGTTGCTTTACACAATTAGTGATGGGTATAAAAAACTGACAACTGTTGAATAAAACTACCCTCGTGCCCGTTTATTTTTATAACATCATCATATGGAATTTTGTCTATTAAAGAATATCTTCAACACATTGTTTGAATGGATTGTGTTTTTTTTTTGTTTAATCGCTATTCGCGCAGTTCTATTATTGTTGATAAAATACTTCTAATTAGACTCGAAACGTTAAGCTATTGAATGTGTCTGTCGAATATTTTCTTTGTTCGTAATTAAAAAATTCATTCAATAAATAATAGTGTGATTTAATTTAATTAATTCAACACTAATGTCAACATGTGTTATTAATACACTAGAATGTGATAGCAGTTTCATTAATTAATGTGTTACTCAATCATTCGCGATGTAATACATTCACTTACAGATTCCATAATGATTTAGATGGATTTCATTTAGGTTTTCTTGCGGTAATTGTCATTCTTTAATGTCTCGTTTATTGGTCAAAATAGCAACACATCAAAATCACACGTGTTCTTGTTAGCTGTTAGCGAAGCATGTAATTGAAGCACGTAGGAAATTTGTAAAGCCTTCACGACGATTTTTGGATCACCATCACCACCATTCTAAAGAGTATGTCAACAATGTAAAGAGTTTGCTTTGTTGGCGAGTTTGAAAGTCCTTAGCCTAAACCTTACAGCGCTATACATTTGAATGATAAAAATTGGGATCAAAGCAAGCCAGCCGTGTGAGTCGTATTTTAGAGTACTATTACATGTACAACGGAAAGTGCAAGCCTACTTTCACGACATTAAATAGAAGAGAGAGAGCATTGATATAAAGTTCTACACCTCTTTATCTTAAGTTCAAATGAGTTTTCTCGTAAGACTTCTTTTTGTCAGGCGAAGCCTTTATCGAGTTCCTTGTTGGTAGTCTTCAACAAATGCAATCGGCCTGTCAAGACAGAGACCAATCGAATCGAACTTTCATGGACATTTAAAGACGTTAAGCAACCGTCGCTTCGCGGTCAACCAACTACAACTAAAAACGAAATTTCATATGTTGTTTGTCACAAATTGACAATGCGAACTTTGGCTGATTCAATGGAGGCTGCTATTCCGAACGTGTCTTTTGTAGAATAGATCGGTGTACCTGTGCATGTGTGTGTCGTAGTTTTGGTCCATTGAAACGAACAGCCTTATACGGAGACATCGGCGTAGAATGGCGTGCACTATCCCCAGAACATATGTTTTTTTATAAAGTTTCTCCACCTGTTTGTTACAAACGTTGCAAAGAAAAGCACCCTTCACTTTCCCGGATATTGTAAAGATGTTTAACACAAATTAGCAGATCAACTAACTACGAGATATTATTTCATTATTATATCAATGAATGTCGTTTCGAACTTTCCTAGAAACGAATGACCTGGAAGAGTTGTTCTTATTTGATTTAAAAACTCCTACACTAGAAAAAAAAAAAGAGCTGAAATATTAATGTGTTTTGCCAACGATGGTGCCGTCTGTCATTCATCGTACAGTTAAGCTGTCAAATCATTCAACTCATTGTTTTTGTTAGCACTGCTGTTGTCACTACACAACACAGATAGGAAAATGCAAGATTACATACAGTGCAAGCAAATGCAACAACAGCCATGTGCAGTAACTATTGATCCAGAGTAAAATTTAAGATAAACAAATGATGAGGTTTTCTTTTCCAATAATGCCCTGAATTTCTTTATGTTGTTTATATTAAACGAAAAGAAAACAAATAAAAAATTTTTCATATGTAAAGGAATGTAAAAAGACTATAAGTCTCAAGTGTTCTTCTTTCTTTTCAAGTACAAAATCTGTTTTAAGTCTTTTAACAACAGATTTATGAAACTAAAATAAATGATTTTCAAGGCAAGCAGTTACAATAAGTGAAGTTAATAGCGCTCGGGGAGAAGGATTAATTAATTGAATTTGACATTTACAAAATTTCATATAAACTTTAATTTATGGCACTTAATAAAATTCATAGGCTTATGACATAATTGGTGAAGAGTTTTGTAGAATGAGAAACATATGCGTAGGGCAACTGAGAAATATATAAGAACGTGAATGGTATTCGTTTCTCATGATAATACTAGAACTATCGAAGTTTTCCATATGTACCTTCATCTACTAAAAAGGGGCCAATTTGACTTTGGGACAGTCGCCTGTTGCATGAAGACTGATGTTCGGCAGAACCGTCTGTATGTTTTTCCCAAAAATAGTCTCAACGACTTTACTAACACGTTCAGAGTAGATAGGTATAAAATTTTAATTACAATTTATTTCCAATCTATTCGTAATGGGGTGAGAAAAGTGGCAATGTGCACTAGAGTATACTGAAAATACCCAATTTTGCTGGAAGTATAATAGATATATGCCATAGGCGTCTCGAATGCTAGACAAGGTGGAAAGAAATTCATTATAGGCTTTCAAATGCCTTTTCATGTAAATAAAGGTCACCGAAATGTTTTAGAACTTTGCAGAAATTGATGAAATTTATCAAATTAAATCATTGAATTATTTTTTTCACTTTTTTGATATTTAATGTTTATTACTTATAAGATAGATAAGGCAGAATGTTGAAAATTATTCCCGACATTCCTCGCATAAAAATTGATTATCTATCTAAGAACATGTGAATTCCAAAATTAACATACAACCGATATACTAGGTAAACAGAAAGAAAATATCAGCTACGCCCAAGCAATATCAGAGAGTATGGAAATTTGGTTTTCTCTTTTTCTTAATCTTCTTTAGGATAACGGCGACAAGCATAAAAGCATAAAAGATTCGCGGCCGAATCGAAACTATTTGTTTTAAGTTCAAAAGGTAACCAAGCGGTAGGTGTAGTGTTAAATATATGAAAACAGATCAATCTGAGTGAATTTTAGTTTGTATCTCCCATTGCTGCAAAGGCGAATTGTTTTGTCAGTTTCGATGCACTTGTTTCGTGAAATTGCTGCTGCAATGTCAAAATTTTTAAGTCTGCTCCTAATAGTTTCTTATATCCGCAAATGCTGGAATTTTGTACATGAGATAATACGTTCGTAAGGATGTAAGAAGGACTTGAGATGAAGCTGCCTTTTATTATACTGAGCGATCTGAGTTTGTCTGTCGGTTAGTCTGCATTATTTTCTTGCCATCAACCTGTAGATCGCAGTTATTGACACATTTTGATACAATTTGGTACACTGCCATGTTTTGACCCAAGGACAAACTGCATTGAAAAATTCTTGGATCGAACCAGATTTTCGCCGACTTCCTATATAACCGTAGGGTGGTGTCGGGTATTCAACGATCGTCCATGGCTTACTATAGCGTTTTTACTTCTTATTAAG